AAGTTCTTGTTGGTTCATTCCTCCAGCACGTCCATAAGCATATCAACTGGTTTCCCCACACAGAGATTGGTGTCATCTGTAGATTTTATAAGCAAGCATGGCACTGCCTCCTCCAGTGGCAAGGATGCTGGACTGGACAGCTGCTGTGACACATCCCTGCAGCACTCTGAGCAACCATTAGCCACCTTCTCAGCCTCATCATCCACCCACATGGCTATCAGCCCGTTTAGACCAAAATGTCCCAACCCGAATACAAGACTATTATGTATGAGAGTGGCCATGGACATTGGCCAGTTCTCTCAGCTCCCTCAGATGTAGTCTGTTGGATATCATGGAGTTGTACAGGTCAAGTTTCCTCAACTAATCCCTGGCCCTATCCCTGTCCAGTGTCTCCTGTTCATCTTGGATGTGTTCACTGATCACAGGGAATAGGAGGCATCATTAGTGCAGACTGAACAAAGAAGGCTTTGAGTGCTTCAGACTTATTGTGTCTGTCATCACTGGATCACCCAGCCCACTCAGCATGGAGCACGCATTGAACTTGGTCAGCCTTTAGGGCAAGAGTAGAAACTTTTCTTGTCCTTGATGTCCCTTGAAGATCTTAGCTACAGCTGAGCTTTGACTTTGCTGATACCATTCCCTGCAATGCCCAGGCAATTGTTCTAAACTCCTCCTTTGTAACCTTGTCCCTGCTTCACTTCTTGTACATTGCCTTTTGACTTTGGGACCGCCACTGTGATTACCTAATTCTGGGCTCCTCATAAATCTGCTCATTTTCCTGCATTTAAAGCAGGCTGCTTTAAAGATCCTTAAAGACCTCCCAGATTCCTTGAGACATTTTGCCCCTCAGAGCTGCTTCTCAAGGAATCACACCTACCAGTCCCCTGAATAAGGCAAACTCTGCTTCTCTAAAGTCCAGGGTTTGTACTTGACTACTCTCCTTCCTCATCCCTGGCAAGATCTTTAATTTCTTTATTTCACAGTTGCTATATCTAAGGCTACCACTGATTATCACGCTCCTAACTTCTTCGTGCACGAAAGAATGGCAGATCCAGGTGTTCCTCACCTCTGGTTGGCTCAGATGGAGAAAGAGGTGGACAACAGCCATGCAGTGACCAACCCACAGCAGGACAGCTATTATGGCATGGGATCTGTGCAGAGAATTCCACATGGTGGTCAGTGAACAGCAGCAGCAAAAATTGACTAAATATTGTGTAAAGGAAAATGAAGTAGAGAAGATGAAAAGGAGAGGACAGGTGTACAAAACCCTGTCAGCACAGCTAGACAAAAAGTCCTCAAGAATTTGGGTCTGAGTGAGAAGAACAGCAGCCAATACTAAGAGACAAGCATGCCACAGAAGGGGGGGCAGTTTGCTGTTTCAAAGTTGAACTCCACTCTGCAAGTTCAACAAGGAAAAGCAGAGATGGGCACAGCTACGGAGCCAGAATGGTTTTCAGCTGAGATTCTTGCATCAGAACGGGTAGGCAAGGAAGCCAAGAAAAACCAGAATGGTGGATCACGTTCACATCTCCCTGGGAAAAAACGTAATGACTCAATACTAAGAGAAAATAAGACTGACCCGAAGTAATGAGGAGGCAAGGCCTGGAGAAAGAGGTACAATCTGAGGTGCAGTCATGTGTCCCTACAGACAGTTTGTGGTCTGAGGCTGAAATTGAGGCACAACTGTGAAACCTGGGTCACAAAGGTAACATCAGTTCCAGAGATTTAGGAACTGATTAACTGATAACTTCATTAGCCATGAATGAAGATGCCTGTGAACTTCTCCAAAACTGAATGAGGATTTCAGCGACAGCCAAGTGTGAACAAGGGAAAGATCCAGAAGCGAGGAAAATAGGGCAGGAAAGAGCCTGCTGGACAGAACTAGAGTCAATGTTAAATACTCTATAAAAAAATTCTAAGCCTTGTTATGTTACAGTATGTCAATGTGAGCGTAACCAAAGTCCTTGTGTTAAAACTGCATTTTAGACAAAATATACGCTGTCAATAGAATCAACTTGCATTTAAGTAAGGCATTTGACATACAGTCATAAAGACATACACTCCTAAAGACTGAAAAATGGGGGTTGGAGCAAGACCTGGCGTAGGAAAAAAGTGTTCTTGTACAAAAAAGGGAGAAGTATGCCAAGAAAACTTAGTAATGCTAAATTTGGGTGTCACTGTCTTTGCAAGGAAGAGGACAGTACAGAGAATGTAAGGAAGCTCAGAACTGTATAATGGAGATGGGATCATATATAGCATTACAACACACAGGATCATGCCTCAGAGTCTAAATCCTGCTCTAATATGGGAATTCATCAGTTGCATATGACAGAAAGCAGAAATACTTGTATTAGCCAACTACAGAATGACCAGAGGCTGTGTCAATGTGGAAAGGCCAAAAAAAACAAAAAAAAACCCAAAAAACCCCACAAAGAAAAACAAACAAACAACCAACAACAACAACAAAAACCCAAAAAGCACAGCAATCCCATTTTGTAGTGCTATTTCCAATAGAGCTAAAAATGCAGGAGCAGCATTCAAGCATGGTGAATATTGGCAATCTGTAATACTATGTATAGTTCTGGTTTCTTGAGAGGTAGATTTAAAGAGGTTTGAAAGACATTAATCTAACCAGGATCAGGGAAAACAAATGACTAAGAGGATTTCAAGAGAGGAGCCTCTCTAACTTGGCAAACTGAAAGTACTTCCCTTGCCAAGCCTAGCAAAACAAAAAAAACCCCAAGCTGCCAGATCAAAAGTATATTTCAGGTAAGGAACCTAACTAGTCTTGAAGTGGCTTCCAAGACAGAGGGAACCAGACTGGAAGTGCCAGGATGTCCCATGCAGTTCCCTAATCCAAACTTCCTACTTGCAAAGTTTGCTGGGCTGAATTTTTCATACAATTATATTCCTGCAAAATTAAATCCTTCTCAAATAGTTGACCTGGAGTGGCTCAGTGAACCTCTGCAGCCAGCAAAATGCTCCGGGACTATGGCACAGGCTTGATCAGAGAGCCTGGAAATCCAACAGGAGGTTACCTGTGCCAACTGCTGAGTCATTATCGCAGCGAGGAATAGTGAGAACCCACCTCCTTTCCACTACAACATAAGATCATTTTCAAGAATCAAATGTATTTAATGTCTTCCCCTCTTCCCTTCAAAGTTCCCAGAAAACATAAACAAGAGTCTGCAAAAAATCTGTGGGTAACAGATGCTGACTGGCTGGAAAACATTCCAGAGGTAGTTCCAGAAAGCTGGAACTGTTTTACCCATGTTTCACATGCATTCCACAGCCACCAGCGCACACCTTCCACTTGACAGGACAATGATGTGCACAGCATTTCTTCATCCCACGGATGGTGTAAGGGATTCCTGACACACTAACTGCTGCCTAAGAGGGTACCTTAACCCAGACAGAGGTCACATCATTGATACCACTACTGCAGCTGCATTCATAAAAACTCCACTGCAGAGGAGACTTCTAGCAAATGCCTTATTACTCCATCAGTTAGAGCTATTGGCTGGCAGCAACAGAGATACTGAAAAGCAAGAATATTTGGTGACAGCATGGCTCTGAAAGCATTTGTAGAGATTTCTGGCACACCTATGTAAGGCTCTACCTATTAAAGAATTATCACGGACTTGGTAAACAGAGTCACTGATTTTCTGCTGGCAAAAAAGTTTGATTACCTCTTACACCTTTTAATCTTATAAAGGCAACACACAAAATAAAAACCGAAAATATAGACACTCCCACAACCAACCAACCCAAAACAAAACTAAAAGCATCTTGAAATGGACATTTATTTCTAGCAACAGCCTCACTGTTCAGGATGTATCATTGTCTGTGAAAACAGTTTGTGTGGGACAGACAAAACTGACAGTACAAGAAACTTAGCCTTCATTATAGAACAGGTACAGACCACCAGCAGAGCAGGAATGAGGCTTCAACAGAATTACCAGGGAGGCTGCAAGTCGTTCAAAGGTCTGGGTTTAATGGTAGCTAAGTCCTTTCAAGACAGCAACGTAAGAGATCTAATGGCTTACATATGAAAGGCTCTGCTTCCAGAAAGTGGCAGGAATAAAAAGAGAAGAAGCGATAGCATAGCATCAGGAGTACCAAACTGGGCTCACCTCTTTGGATGGCTGGTAGTAGACACCTGTGAACTGTCACAGAAGTGACTTGGGAGTGTGCCAGCAAGTTTGGGCTCACTTTAGCAGTGGAGCTTGAAAACTTGAAAAGGATATGGAGGAAAAGGACACACCTGTCCAAGGGATTCTGAGCCCAGAAAAAGCACCAGAAGTCAAAGCAACTTAGATTAGGATGTGACAAAGGTATGTATTTTGAAGCCTTTAGGGACCAAGCAGTTTCTTGTGAACTGTACTGAAGAGGATAAAGAAAAAGAAAAGTACGGGAATAACGAGAGAGGAGAGCAGAGAGAAATCCCAATGTTTAGAAAGGAAGTAGAAGATGCACTGAGGATCAAACATAGGCAGACACCAGAAGCCAGACATATCCCCAGGGATAAGAGAATTAGTAACTCTCCAGACAATACCGACCCCTCGGACTCTGTTGTTTACACAGGTTCACTTCAGCCCTATGGTGACACAACCATAAAAATCATAACCTGGCAGCTCCGCTGGGCCAGGAACCTGAGTCTGAGCCCAGCCCTGGAGGTACAGCACACTGTGGAGCAGGTTTTGGCCAGGCTCAGCAAGGAGCAGGAGCCGTGTGAGCCCCGAGGGCCGCGCTGGCAGCCCAGCGCCGCGGAGCCTCCAGCAAGCGGCAGTGCTGGCTCGGCTAACCCAGGCGCGAGGCCGCGCAGGCCGGGCTGCTCCGCTCCCAGCCCCCAGCCCAGCCTGCTCTCCACTTGCACCCACTGCCTACTTACTTTTTAATTAGATTTTTAAACAAAAAGTGAAAGAATTTTCTAAAATTCCTCTAATTACACTAAGATGCTGAACTGATTGTGAAGGGAATAGGAAATGAAAGCGACTCACCCTCTGAGGGAGAATTTTGTCAGCCATCTTCCTCCTCTTGGCACTGTACATTTTTTAAAGAAAAAAACACGTTACCATGGTGACAGATCTAGGAGTAACGAGGCCACCTGCTAAATTATCCTGACATCTCCACATGCTGGTGCACAGCTGTGCATGCATCAGCAAAAGGGTCTCACCCATGCTCAGGACCTTGTACCCCTTCTCTCAGCAGCCTGGGGAGGCAGTTAGGTAAGAACAAATCAGGGCTGTCTGTTATGCATCCTGGAAAGAAGTCTGTAAGTTCTTTGATCACAGCATCTTCTGTGGTGCAGGGCGGCAATATATGGCAGTGCATGTGCACACACTGCTCCTGGGTACAAACAAGCATGCAGAGGACAGTCTCACATGTGGCGTGCACAGACACACCTACACGTGTGCACATCTGAGTGGCTGAGAGCCTGCACATGGCACATCAACTTCTTCAAACAGACAACATGCATTTATTCCATCATGCCCAAAATTAAGTGCTGAAGAACACACATATATATGTGTGTATTTCATATGATGTATGAAAACACACACATACTCACACCCTTCCTTCATATGTACATACACACTTGTTTTACTTATCATATTTGCATGAGTGATGGATAAAGGTGGAAGACCTTACATTTCCACATTTCTTCATCTTTATGAACACAGAAGTGGGAAGATGTATGTGTGCCTGCAGTGTGTATACATACTGTGTCCGTACCCATACACAAGCACATTTCTATAGCTATGCTTTTAAAAACACACCTGACTCGTGTACATAAACACAAATCTGTGTGTGCCTGAGAAATGCTGCTGTCGGGAAGACTGCCTTCAGATTCTAAGAATTGTTCATGCCCACCAAACTTGTCACCCAGCTTTCTCTAACAGGGACCAAGAGGGAATTCAGGTGCCATCTCTTTAACTTGTAAGGCCTTTATCTTAAGCAGGAGATTAATCACTCTGTCTGTGACAGACAAATGGGAGACAGCAAACCAGCTGCTGCCGCTCTGCCATGTCACAAGGACATCCCTCCTTTCCACACTGGAAGTCTGTCATCAGCTGTGTTTCCATGCATTGATGCGGCATGCTCTCTTCCTATGTTTGTTAATAATGAGCCAGGGCTGAAATACCAGATTCTTAAGAGTCTTCCCCATGCCCACATAAGCCAAGGCTGAGGAACTCTCTGTGCCTGGAGGTACAGCGGACATAAAATTCAGTTACACCCAACTTAATAGGTGAACAATGTCCCTTTTAGAAGTGTAGGAATAATGGGAATGGAATGTCACATGGTGTCAAACTCCAACACCTTCAACCACTCACAAAATGAAACCTGCACTGAAACACTTCACAGAATCTAGAAGTATGGGCTGAGCAACCCCCAGCCTCCCAAAGGGATTGGGATACCTGCAACAACCCCATAGGCTTGCAAATAAAAAGCAAGAAAAAAACAAAGCAACACCCTCCAAACAATTTGGATCTCAACCAGTTCTTCAATAATCTCTTACAGAAATGAGATTTTTGTCTCCACTGAAGAAAGGACAAGGGCAACTTTCTTGGCCCATGCTGAGAACCATGGAACTCATTTTACCCCCAGAATTGGACCCAAGGTGCCAGAAAAGTGTGCCTGAAAAACACATAATGGGAAACCACAGGGAGGTGGAAATGAAAAAAGGGAAAACGTTCAACACAATATCTGAAGGGAAGGCATGGCAGAAGAAACCGAGAAACTCTGAGTACCCAGGCAGCACTGGTGTGAACTGGGCTCAAGGCAGTAGAGATCACTGCTGGGTCTCAAACTAGAAACACTGAAGTTAAGAACAGGGGAGGGGAACTTTTTTCTGTGAGTCAGGCCACCAGCTTTTAGCAAATAGTGTCCTCTAATGCTCCCTGGAAACTAGTTAGTGACTAAACTTTACCTTAATTATCCAGCAGGGGCAATTTGTCAGGTTATATCCACCCTAGGACCTGAAGCATGGGCATTATTTTGTGGCATTATTTTGTGCAGTTTCTTGGAGAACCTCCTGGGAGGTGCTACAGAATGTGCATTTTGGCTGGTGCTGGGAAAGGTCTCCAAGAGGTACACGCACTGCTTGTGCTCACATGCTGCACTCACACACATTCCTTCTGTGTTCAACCTTTTCAATTGTAATGTATTAATACTCCCAAGATCAGTGTCCTTTCCAGATGCATCCCAGACACAAGCATTCCCAAATCTGGCTTGCTGATCCAAGGTATATAACCTGGACAGAGCAGGGCTCCTGGAGAACTGAGCTTAGAGAGTCATGTTTTACCTCCAGCTGGATTCCCTGACCCACCAGAACACTGCCTGAAGCTGTGTATACATCTATAATGATTCTGCAAAAGGCAGCCCACACAGATGACTGCACCCTATGCGCGTGTGGATCCCACTCAACACTCAAGACTGATGAGGTCTAATGTGCTGCAAAAAGAAATTAGTTAACCTATTTAAGACAGAATGTATTCAGCAATGTGCAAGGTGGGCATATTTCAAAAAGGAAGTTCCACACAGAAATCCCTCTAATTTTATGAAATTACTTCCAGTGCATATTTATTTACTTTATATGTAAAAACACTTGGGACAACTGCAAGTTTTATGACCACTCTTTTGAGTGACCATAGCACAAGCATTCACATGACAAACCAAAGTTTTTTCCACTTGTGTCATTTACAAGCTAGTAGGTTAGCCAGTCAGAAATCAGAGCAACTATACAGAACAGGCAACAAATAATACAATAATTGTACTATATTAGAAGAGAGCTGTTCATTAATTCTAAAGGCTAAACATACTCAACAAATTTATGGCCTGACACACCTGCAAAGTAAAAGCAGAATAACTACAAAACCAGACATTATTAAAGGTTGGTTTGTTGAAGACCATTCACAAACAAAAAAAAAGGTAAAATTTACTAATGTTTTTCCTGCTTAAAAAACTGTCAGTGCATATATCTTCTATTCTGTCTTATTTGTTCTTAAAAGTCTTATCTACTGCTAAACAGGTGCCATCTTTGTTTCCTCAAATTGTCCTCCTGTGTTTTCTTTCCAGAACACTCACCTCCTAGCTCGGTTCTGAGTAGCTTGCTGCTGCACTTGCTGCTGCACCTGCTGCTGCTGGACCTGCTGTGGTGCTGTGCGTTTTCTTGTTGTTTCCATCACAGTCTGGGGCATCCCGGGTCGCACCGAGGGGCTTCCGACATACGGGGGGCCTGGAGGACCCATGGGAGCCCCCTGATGGGGCATTCGAGCTCCTGATGGCATCCCAGGGCGCTGGAGGAAAAGCGAAACAGAAAGAAAAGCCCGTTTGGTTCCCCTTTCTGCAGCTGCCAAGACATTTGTACATTATTGTGCCACAGGCCCCAACAGATTCCCCATTCTGAGCGCCCTGATGAGCGCTGAGCAGCAATACAAAGCACACGCGCTCTGTGACCGGTGCATCGTAAGTATCAGGGACAGGTATTCAGGGATAAAGCACACAGGAAACACAGTACTAGGCTTGGGAAAACACTCAGTGCTCAGCAGCATACCCAGACCAGGTCACAGCTGAAAGCTCTACCTCCAGCCTGGATGGGAACAGCCCATGGCAGCAACACGCAGCTCACAGCAGTGCAGCTCACGTGCTGCTGCGAGCACACTCTGCTGCATGCGCTGCACTGCTGAGCAGTCCCACAGTGGTGCAGCTCACATGCTGCTCCAAGTACGCGCCGCTGCATGCGCTGCACTGCTGAGCAGTACCACAGTGGTGCAGCTCACATGCTGCTCCAAGTACGCGCCGCTGCATGCGCTGCACTGCTGAGCAGTACCACAGTGGTGCAGCTCACATGCTGCTCCAAGTACGCGCCGCTGCATGCGCTGCACTGCTGAGCAGTACCACAGTGGTGCAGCTCACATGCTGCTCTGAGCACGCTCCTGCTGCATGCACTGCCCTGCTGAGCAGCACCACAGTGGTGAAGCTCACGTGCTGCTCCAAGCTGTGAGCACACTCTGCTGCATGCACTGCACTGCACTCAGAGCAGGCGGCTCTGAGCAGCGGCAGACAAACCAGCCCAGGCAAAGCACCAGGATAAACATTTCCCATTGAGAGCCTTCACTTCGCCTACACCGGAGAGCAGTGTAAGTTCATAACGCAACACGAATCCTTTATAAAAAAGGTCATGTCTCTGATCAAGCCTTTAAAATAAAATTAAAAAAAAAAGAAATGGATGTGGTAGTTTGTCAGCAGCCCCTGTAGGCATTCCAAAGCCCTGGCATTTATGCTGTCTTCTGCATGCTCTTGAGAGACACTGGGTCAAATCACAAGCTTAATGCTGCACAAGACACCCAGTAAATCCAATTCTGAATTCTAAAAGCTTATAGCCATCAAAGAAAGCCACCAGTAAAATAATGACTGCCTGTAAAATGCAATTCAAACCAGAGAGATGAGCTTAGTCTCATACTGAGAATTATCAATATATATATGTCCACATATATGCAAAAATGACAGACACACACTCTCTCTAGGCATTTGAACCAGGATGAAAATAAGAATAACCATACAGCAAAAGCCCTCTGAAAGCCAAGTCCCTCTACAACGTCTTTTAAGGAAACCAAGAGGCAATGGCATCCATTATGGATAAACAATTGGTTAAAGGATAGAAGTGAGACAAAAGTGATTGGTTCTGAAAACAAAAGAAAGGCACATGTAAACTTCTACTGGGACATCTCCTTTTCAGGATATTTAAAACAACCTGGGGAAAAAAAAGAACCAAAAAAAGCCAGGAAAACCCAATGAAGTGAAGAAGTTTGTTGGTTATGCTAAGTTATTCATGTTGACAAGGACGAAGGCCAACTTCAAGAACTGCAGATGGACTTTATGAGACAGAATGAATGCTTAAAAGGAAGATGCAAATGTAGTTCAAGGCATATTGAACTGAATTACAAAAGGGGAAAAAACAATCCAAGAATCACAGACAAAGCAATGGGTCCTAAGCTGCTGTCCAGCAGAACCTTGTTTAAACAGACACTTCCAGAAAATATTGGTTCACCGGTTACTAGAGGTCAAAATAAATCATAAAGAAAAGAAATAAGAGTGGAGGGAACAGAGGATATCAGTGTGCCATGGCCATGGTGTGTCTACAAATGAAGGTCTGTGCGCAGCTCTGGCTCCTGCAGCTCTCCTTGTTTCAGCAGAGCAGAGCTGAAACAAGGACAATGAATGGCACAGAAATTCTGAGCATATGGAACTGCATCCAGGGAAGTAAAGGTAAATACATTGTGACTTTTCATCTGGAAAGAGGTGATCCAAGGTGATTTAAAGGGGCATTTGCCAGAGCTCTGCAGAACCATGTGTGGCCTGGGGAGGACAGTCAGGTATTGAGTGTTCACTGCCCCTGCCAGAATAGCAAACCCTAGCCACCAGCAGAGGGGTCAGGCTCACAGACCACTGGAGGGGTGAGTTTGTCACACTGTGGGTATCAGCCTGTGGAACCCTCTTCCAAAAGGGTGCTAACAACGTGGAAGACATACTTGGCTCAATAGCTGCAGCCTGCAAAAGCACTTGGGAGAAATATGCTCCTGGACTCCAAAATGAGGTGGATATGGGCACCCCTGAGGGTATGCAAGCCAGTCTGCTGGGGGTGGGAAGAAAATATTCAATGCACAGTCAACATATATCATTATTTTAAAAAGTTTATATCATCTTTATCTCATAATTTCTATGATTTCTAAATATTTATATGTGTATTATAATAAAAGATAGTTCTAAAAATAATTTGGACCCGCATCTCCAAATTGACCATCCAAATCCACTATAGCTCCCAAAGCCCCAGCTCAATGCCCTCCCTGATCAGCACAAGTCTGAGATATTCCTCATGCTTGTATCCATAAAGGAAATTGGAGAAAGGAGAGGAATGGATGATCAGCAAAGAACCAATATGGGCTATAACTGGCACAGACAGAGCAGCAAGGCAGGAGGGAGCAGAGTCACCAGCACAGGAATCTAAGCGGGTGAATTCAGCAAGTGTCCATATAAGAAAGCAATGGCAGGTGTGGCCATAGAGAGAGCAGCAGACAGACCAAACTGCAGCTTTGTGCAAAGCTCCAAATGCCTTCTGCCATGAGCCTGGAGCCCCAGGAACAGCTGGAGGAGAACAGGGCTCTCTGTTCCCGTGCATGAGCCCCAACCCTCTGACACAGGCAGTCAGTGGACAGAAATGGCCCAGAAAATGCTCCTCTCTTGAGCCTGCACTTAAGATGTGTCATCTGTCAAGCCACACATTGTGGCCTCCTTCCAGCAAAGGGCAGAGCACTGGGCCAGCTGCTGCCTGTCAGTCAGCTGGGGACAGCTGACAGTCACTCAGAAAAGCCCAGATCCTGAGCACAGCCATCTCACGGAGACTGACTGGCTACATGGACAAAACTGAAGGGCCACTTTGGTGCTGCTCTTAAGGACAACTCAGGGCTTGAAGAACAAGGTCAGCAAGCCAAATCTACTCTCAGTCTTGGTCTTATGTTTTTGAACTTCCTTCAGTTCCTTCGTTAAGCACTAAAATAGAGACAGAGAAAGGACAAACATGAGAAAAGAGAGGCAGCTCTAGCAAAAGAATATTCAATCTCATCCCTTGACCGCCTCATTCCTTTGCCTGTTCTCATGTTCCTATCTCTGAAATCACTCATAGATAAAGTATTACTCACTATGCAACTGTGCAACTGTCTTCCTGCTGCAAGCCCACCAGACTCCCAAGATACAGAAATGCTTTATCTATTTAAACTTTGATAAAAGAAGAACACACAAGCAGTATCTCACCATACCTAAAAGCTTATTTTGCTCTCAAACACAAGTGTGATACAAGAGAGTGATGGACAATACTTAAAATTTTTCATAATAGTGACATTAAAAAAGAAAAGTCCTCATACTAAAGAGTATTCCAATATCATTACGGCTTTTGAAAAAGATCTTGAAGGTGCATCTACCTACAGGTCAGGATCTGTCTCTCCCCCTCTTCCTCAGCAGGATGGAATCTATCATAAACAAGAAGCATCCATAGGAAATACTGCAGCGCAAAACAGCACTGATACATCCTCCTTCCTGTAAAATCATCTACCTGAGGCCCCCATCCCCAACCCATCTCTGTTTGTGCCCACGGTCCTATCTCCTTTTTATCCATTGATTCCATTTGCATATATTATTCTGCACAAACACCTCACTGGACCGAGGGCAAAACCACTGTTGGCCGTAGGAAATGAGGAAGACCACAGCCTGTCCCCAGCTGAAAGGACCACTCTCACAGCTCTGAGAAGGTGAAGCAGAAAACAGAGCAGCACAGCATCAAGGCAAAGACACAAAGGCACCGAGTTCATGCAGGTATACTGGTCCCCAAGAGTTCTGCTGACTGCCCGTGTCCATGTGCACAGCCCAGCCCTGCTCTGGCTGCAGCTGTTCAAACCTGAGCGTGCTGTGAGTGCAGCAGAGCACCACCCCTGACACCTGCCCCAGAGCCCTTCACTGCTGTCCACTGATCAGCTCCCTAGGCCGTGTTCGGCTTGCCTGCTGCCCTCCTTGCCTGAACTTCCTGTCACATCAGAGCTCTGCCTCTGTCCTCTCTGGCATCCTTAAGTGAACTTCTGTCTGACAGCAGTAACGAGACAACATTGGAGCAGTGTTTTTCTATGTTCTTCTGCTGCGGAGTCTTTTCTCAGGGGATGTGCATCACAGCAGTCAAAACACAGAAGCAGAAAAAAGGAGTCCTGTCTGGACAGACCAGTAAGAGGAAAATAACCTGGAGAATTGACAGGTGAAAGTAAAAGAAAGCATCAAGAAAAGTAAAGCAAGAACACCCACAAGAGGCCTCAGAAAGACTGAAGAGAGAGCCAGGAGTTGCTGCATTGCAGCTGAGTGCTGAGCTGCACCTACAGCAATCTCCTGTCCTGGCAGACTCCATCCACCTCAGCACCACACAGGTGGCTCTTATGGCTGGCTCGTGGGGAACAGCCACCAGCTTCTTGTTAACAGAGACACTGACAGATTCTGAGAATAACCACCACCAAGTATACAAACAGCACATTTCTTAACTAAAAAAGAGCCTCCAAGAAAAATGGAGAGAGACAGTTTAAAAGGGCCTGGAGTGACAGAACAAGAGAGAAGGGCTTCATACTGACAGATAGTAGGTTTAGATTAGAAGAAAATTCTTTACTTATGAGGGTCATGAGGCCCAGGTTGTGGCTGCCCCATCTCTGGAAGTGTTCAAAGCCAAGCTGGATGGAGCTTGGAGCTGGTCTAGCAGAAGGTGTCC